TGCCTGCCCAGAGCACAGAGGTTTCTCTGGGGACATTTTGCTCCTCCAGAGTGAGCAGCTCAGCCCTTATTAGCTGGAAGGTAAGGAGTTTTCCCACAGCTTGGCTCTCCATTATGCAGAATACACAAAGCCTTGTCCATGTCCATTTTTGTCAATGCCTTTGCAAAACTGGAGCACTGCATTAATGGATCAACCACTTCCCTGTATGGCAGAGCAGAAGAAGTGGAAAAGCTTTCTCCTCACTCTTGTAAAATACCTGTGTGTGCCTGTTCAGGTCGTAGAAGCAACTTGAGATTCAGCTCTTGAAACAGCAACTGTAAAACTAGTCCAGTTTGCAGCACTCTGGGGCAAAGCAAGGATGACTCATTTTAGGGCACTCTTGCAATCCCAGGATGAAAGCAAAAGAGGATCCAAGGAGGACACTTAAACAGCAGATTAGGAAAAGGGCATGAGGATTCTCATGACCAAATTCATCAGCCAGACCTGCAGTTACACTTTTGTATTTGATTTTCATTTCAGATTTTGACTGCAGTCCTTCTTGGACTTGTCCTGACCCCAGCCCTTGGTGAAAATGTGAGTACAGGGACCAATTCCCACCTGCACAGCTGCAGTTTCTATATCCCCTGCTTTGGGAGATGTCCTTCATTCTTTCTTCATTTGCTGGGAGGACAGAAATTGAAATCTCCTCTCAGAGATGAAACTCTAAAGGCACCACACGGCAGCTGTAAGATGCAGCAATGATTCGGGGAAGGCAGGCAAAGAATTCTTACGGCTACTGCCCAACTTTGCCACAGCCTTGATCTTTTGTCCTTGGGAAAATCCTCAGCTCACTGCTGCCACTCCCTGCGGGCAGCACTTCTTCTGTTCTACCAGGGATCTGGGGAGTTCACTAATTCACTTCAAAATCTAAACATGTTCCATTATTTGGCGTTTTAGTCTCAGCAGAGTGATGACAACTGCCAGATCTCTGTTGGTGGAGTCTTCCAAAATATGACCATCAGTAGTCAAACACGTGTGGCAGTTTTTGAACAAAGAAGCAACGATTTGTCATGGAAAACCATCTGGAACTACAACACGGTGAGTGGCAGGGAGCGCACTTTGCCGGGCACTGTGCGAGGAGGCTGCCTCCCGCTCCAGCTGACCAAGGCACGGGGCTTCTTGCTTTCTTGTTGAGCTTCTGAGTCCAGGATCTGGGGTAGGAAGTATTGGTATTCCTTCCTGGTTTTAATCCAGACTTTTTTCCATTTTTTTCCCAGTTGGAAAAGTGAACTGTGAGTGCTCAATAACTTTCTCCTTACAGGGCGTCATTGCAACCAAAGTGATGCAAGAGAGAACTTGCTACATTTCTGTCATGAACCAGAAGGAGATGCCCAGCTTTGATGCCCTGCTCAGACTGGCTGCAGAGAACAGGGTAAGGTTAAAAGCAGAATTTGCCTCAGATGTTGAAGAGTACTTGTTATTCATTTTTTTGTCTGAGTTTTTGATATTTTCAGAAACTTCTTAATGGTTGTGTATATTAAAAGCTATTTATTTTCACTTTAGTGATGTTTTTCAGTTACATAATTTGAGATCTTTTAAAACTCAACTCAAAGGAGAGATTATAAGTCAGAATAACAATTTATTAAAATAATACAGTAAGTACAATCATACAAACAAACAATTGGTCTTAACCCACAAAACCCAAATGTATACCCAGTGCCCTGGGGCATGAACAAAGTGGTGTTCCTTGGGCCCCGCTTGAGTCCAAAGTAAAGGGAGAGGGGAAAAACCTGCTGGTGGGAGAGCTGTTGCAGTCTGGTCAAAAGTGGTGACTGCAGTCCAGTTGAGGGTGGTGGTCTAAGTCTGGTTCAGAGCGATGAACTGCAGTCTTCCTCTGGATCCCACGAGTGGTTAAAAATGTTCCAAGACTCCAGGATTATATATTCTCCAGTTCAGGCAGGAATGCCCAGTACTTCCCTCAGGGCAGGGAGTTCCACAAAGAGACTGAGGACAAGAGCAGTCCTCCTATCTCACAGGCCTCTTAACACCTAGTTTATAGCCTGAGGAATCAGGCTCTATGGGCAGAGGGTGCGAATAGTCTATTGACAACAGTTTCTGGGAAATGGCATGGAAGGCTATAGAATACACAGTTTTGGGTTACACCCATACCATGATGAACTGGTCTCAGCTGTCCTAACTAGGACAAAAGGGCAAGAAAACTGAGGCAGCTTAAGATAAACAGGAGAATGACCCCAGTAAAGGCATAAGCAAAAAGATGCAGCTTTAGCTGCAAGTAATTCCAGGCTTGCTTGTTGTAAGGTTTATGTCAGAGACCCTGAAGCTCATTTCAACTCCTTGCTTGCCATTGAGAAGGAAGCAGAGTGCAATGGGCACAAGCACTGTGACCATACTGCACATATTTTGAAAGCCTTTAACAATCCCAGCCATCCCTGCCAAGTGTGTCTTTCCACTGGAGACCATTGGACTATTTCTTAACTGTGCTTTTTCCTGCTGGAGAGCAGCAGCTTGTCCCACGTGGCAGGACTGTCTTGCCCTCTACAGCAGTGCGGCTTGGCACTTTCCCGTAGGTGCTGTTTGTCCAAAGCAAAGCGGGGCGGGGGGGCCCTCATTCCCTCTTCCAACTGCGCTTTCTCTGAGGAAGCTGAGCTCTGCAGCTTGCTGAGAAACCCTTTCTCTCAGGAATCCTGCAAGGGTTCCACTTCTTTGGGCATGGCAATCCTTCCAAGGCCTTCCGAGGCCCTGCAATACCACCCTGCATTTGTCAGCTCAGACCTTTGCCTTGCAGCTTCCATTGTCCAGACTCCCTTTTCCTTTGGGGCGGGAGAGAGCTCTGTGCCATGGCAAAGGCACCAATAAAGTCAGGGGCAGTCACAGCCCAAGCACCGGCTCGTCACTGCACAACTCGCCATATGCCCGCCATGAAACGCGTCACGCCACTGATCTTGCTGAATGCTCTCTTTTGGTGTCTAGAACCAGGTCGGTCTTGGAAGAGTTACAAGGAAGCTCACCTTTGTGACCAAGGGATTGGTCAACAACCTCAACTCTTACGGAGCAGACATCACGGCCATGTGCAGCGGACTCACCACCTACAAAGCTTATGAAGTTCACGGTGAGTGCAAGCAAATCAATTCTGTCTCTCTCTCACCTGGCACTTTTTTCCCCTTGGGGAATGACTACTGCACCAGTGGTCCTCTTCCAACTCCAGACGGACAGAAAGCAAGAGCTTCAGGTTAGGCAGAAAACCTTCGGCATCTCTGCAGATCAGCACTGCACCAGGCTTGAGTCCCAGCCTGCAGAACTGACCAGCTCCAAACCCTTCCCCCTCCCATCCNTACATTTGCTTTTCAGAGTCTCTCATTTGCAGTGCAAAAACTATATTTTCTCCACTAGGTCTAATTCAGGAATGACAAATCTTGAAGCATGGAGAGTTTAAATAAGTTTAAATAAGCTTTCAATCTTTTTCAAAAGAACCTTACACCATATTAACATTAGTTCAATCCACTGAATTGGCATTTTAAAAATCATCTCAGCATTCAGCAGACTCACTGTTGGTAGACACTGGCTTTCCTTGAAGACTGAGAAGTGAGTCCTTAAAAAAATCCAGGCTTTAAAGAGCAAGAAAACTGTGGCAGGTTAAGATAAACAGGAGAAGGACCCCAGTAAAGGCATAAGCAAAAAGATGTAGCTTTAGCTGCAAGTAATTCCAGGTTTGCTTGTTGTAAGGTTTATGTCAGAGACCCTGAAGCTCATTTCAACTCCTTGCTTGCCATTGAGAAGGAAGCAGAGTGCAATGGGCACAAGCACTGTGACCATACTGCGCTTATTTTGAAAGCCTTTAACAATCCCAGCCATCCCTGCCAAGTGTGTCTTTCCACTGGAGTCCATTGGGCCCTTTCTTAACTGGGCCTTTTCCTGCTGGAGAGGAGCAGGTTGTCCCACATGGCAGGACTGTCTTGCCCTCCACAGCAGTGCGGCTTGGCAATTTGCCCTAGGGATGGTTTGTCCAAAGCAAAGGGGGGCAGGGGGGCCCTCATTCCCTCTGCCAGCTGTGCTTTCTCTGAGGAAGCTGAGCTCTGCACCTTGTTGAGAAACCCTTTCTCTCAGGAATCCTGCAAGGGCTCCAATTCTTTGGGCATGGCAATCCTTCCAAGGCCTTCCGAGGCCCTGCAATACCACCCCGCATTTGTCAGCTCAGACCTTTGCCTTGCAGCTTCCATTGTCCAGACTCTCTTTTCCTTTGGGGCGGGAGAGAGCTCTGTGCCATGGCAAAGGTACCACTAAAGGCAGGGGCAGTCACAGCCCAAGCACCGGCTCGTCACTGCACAACTCGCCATATGCCTGCCATGAAACGCGTCACGCCACTGATCTTGCTGAATGCTCTCTTTTGGTGTCTAGAACCAGGTCAGTCTTGGAAGAGTTACAAGGAAGCTCACCTTTGTGGCCAAGGGATTGGTCAACAACCTCAAGTCTTACGGAGCAGACATCTTCTCTATGTGCAATGGACTCACCACCTACATGACCTCTGAGGTTCACAGTGAGTACAAGCAAATCAGTTCTGTCTCCCATTGGCCTGGCATTTCATTCCCTTGGGGAATGACTACAGCACAAAGGCTCCTATTCCAACTTAAGATGGACAGAAACTCAGGAACAAAAATACCCCCATCAAGAATGGCAGCTATTGTTGTAGCTGGTATAGACTGGTATAAATGAGCTGAGTTGCTGTGGGTGCCTTAATTTTATTTTGATCACTTGCAATAGAATTTTGTATTAATGGGAAAAAAAAATTTGTTTTAAATATATCCAAGTGAACTAAGTTTCTGTGATAATCCTGAAGCACCATCAAAGTATTCTGAGCCTTCCTGCAAGCTGATTGTCTCCAAACCTGTGATGGAAAGCTGCTTTACAGCTCAGGCTCAGCTCTGGCATGGCAGCATTTCTCTGTATTCCCTGCATGCTTTGCTTTGGCACCTGAGGGGGCTCAGTGGGATTCAAAAGGCAAGTGCAATGTTCCAGGTGTTAAGGGCTGTCTACAAATGCACAGATCACTCAACAATATCTAAGCCAGCATCTCATGGTTTTGGTTTTTTCTTTTGTTGTTTGTAAAGGAGGCCAACTGAATCTCAGATCATGTACTACACTTGACGTCCTGAAAGTTGTGGACCTGAATTATTGTCGTGGCAATATAATGGCCTGAAAACTTTACGTTTCTTGAACCAAGTGTGGAGGATCCAGAGCTGCTGCCCAAAGCCAACCCCGATGCCCTTCTTCCCAGGCACCTCCCCTTTCCAGAGATCCCTTCTTGAGGATGGAGATGCTAAAATACATGAACGGGTTACCAGAGCTTTCAATTAAAGACCTTCATCATGGATTGACTCCAACTTGTTTGTCTTTACCATTTTTCATTTATGAACACCCAGAAATACATTTTGATTGTCTCTCTTCTGACCCCTTCGAGCTCTTCCAATGCTCTTTTCATTGGCAGCTCTCAACACTGGGCACACCCAGAGAGCTGGGCAAGCCCCGGGGTGTGTACCTTACAAACAAGGCTTTCAGAGTTACAACCTTCCTTTCCCTGGGCAGGGAAAGATGCC